TGTATTCATCATAATATTTGTTATTAGTATATGCATTTGAGACTGCGTTGGCTTCTTTTATTTTATTTATTTTATTTTTTAAGATTTTATTTATTTATTCATGAGAGACACACAGAGAGACAGAAGCAGAGACATAGGCAGAGGGAGAACCAGGGGGAGCCTGATGTGGGACTCGATCCCCAAACTCCAGGATAATGCCCTGAGCCATCCAGATGTCCCATGAGTTGGCTTCTTTTAAAGATATATATTTATTATATCTAGAGAGAGAAAGTAAGGGGGGGGGGCAAAGGGAGAGGGAGAAAATCATCAAGCCGACTCTGTTGAGTACAGAGCCTGATGTGGGACCTATCCCATGACTCTAACTGAAATCGAGTTGGCTACCCCACCAACTGAGCCATCCAGGTGCCCCTATGCTGGCTTTATAATGTGCTGACTCGGCTAAACTAAGTAATACTGCCCAGCATTCCTCTGTATATTTTCAGTTAGAGTGGACCACAAATGATTCTTGTACAAGATTCAGAGGGCGCTCTCATTTATGTGTGGAATTTAAAAACTTACAGAAACAGAACTGATTGGTGGTTGTTGGGGTGCAGGGGTGAAGGAAATGGGTGAAGGTGGATAATAGGTAAAGACTTCTGGTTATAAGACAAATAACTCCTGGAGAAGTAATGTATAGCATGCTGACTGTAGTTAGCAATACTGCATTGTGTGTTTCAAAGTTGCTAAGAGAATGGATCCTCATAGTTCTCACCACAGGAGAAAAATGTAACTCTGTGTGGTACCAGGGTTAACTAAGCTTACTTCAGTAAACATTTTACAATATATACATATCATGATGTTGAACATCTTAAACTAATACAAAGTTATGTGTCAATTATATCTCAATAATGAAAAACTCAAAACAGAACAAAAGTAGTAACAAAAAAGATTTGGAGGGCAGTTGTGAGGCAGTAGCTCATTTGGGAACTTACATATTCACATTTTGATTACTGATCTGATTTGCTTCTCTAAGGCTGGGCAGTGGCTGGATCTGAAATTCGCCCACTTTCTCCTGGTTACTCCTTCAGCTTCTTGGGTGCCTGAGTCAGGTGTTTGCATTTGTTTGTTAAAACCCCTGGTTTCTACAAGGCCACCTATGCAACCATGGCCAAAGACAGCAAGAGCTGATAGTTTCAGTATTGTCTCCTGGGCTTGTGAGTTCCAGCTGTTTTCACTGTCTTCCAGCTTCCATCCCTTTCCTTCTCAATTGCCTGCCCTAATGACAGTGCACTGTAACATCGAATGCAGAGACAGAGTCTTCCAGACCCAGCTTTACTAGCTTCTGTAATTCTATGAAGTCAAATCTTCATAATATTTCTCTTAATATATAGAGCCTGTGATTCTGTCCTGTTGGTTGATTTCTGACAGGTACAGAGAATATAGGTTTTTGTTCCTCCAAGTTTTTTTTTAACTAAAATATATTTGACATATAACATTGGGTAAATTTAAAGTATATAACATGTTAACTTGATATGTTTATATATTATAATTGCCATTGCAGTAATAATTAATATCTCTATCACACTGCATAATTATCTTTTTTAGTGGCTGAAATAATTAAGTTATGGTCTCTGCAAGTTTAATTATAATACAGTATTGTTGTCTATATTCACTGTAATGCGCATTAGCTCTCTAGGGCTTATTTACTATTCATTGCAAGTTGGTACCATTAAATAACATCTGTCTTATTCCCCTACCCCCATTCCCTGGTGGCCACCATTCTATTCTTTGTTTCTATGACTTCAATTTTTTTTTTATTCTACATATAACTGATATTGTACTGCATTTGTTTTTCTCCATATGACTTACCTCAAGTAGAATGATGCTCTCAAGGTTGTTGCCAGTGGCAGTATATCTATCCTTCTTTCTCACGACTGAATAATATTTCATTGTGTATATATGTGTGTGTATATAAAAAATGTGTATATGATATTGTGTGTGTGTGTGTGTGTGTATATATATATATTCATGTATTCTTTACCCATACTTCTATTATGGGCACTTAGGTTGTTTCCATATCCTGGCTATTGTGAGTGTTTACTCACAACTTTTAATATGCAAAATCATATCATCTGCAAATAGCAACAATTTTATTTTATTCTTTCCTATTTGGATGCCTTTTATTTCTTTGTCTTGCAAAATTGCTCTAGCTAGGATCTTTAGTACTATATTGAATAAGAGTCATGAGAGCAAACATCTTTGTCTTGTTCCTAATCTTAGAAAAAAAGCTTTCTATCTTTTTCCATTGAGTATATTATTAGCTTTGGGTTTGTCACATGTGGCCTTTATTATGTTGAGGTATTTTCCTTTTATACTCAATCTGTGGAGAGTTTTTTTTTTTCTTAACCATGAAAAGATGTATTTTGTCAAACGATTTTTTTTGCATCTATTGAAATGATCGTGTGCTTTCATTCTATTTATGTGATGTATTATATTTATTGATTTGCATATATTGAATCATCCTGGCATCCCAGGGATAAATCCCACATGGTCATAGTGTATAATTCTTTTAATGTCTTCTTGAATTTGGTTTGCTAATATTTTGTTGAATTTTCACATCTGTATTCATCATGGATATTGGTCTGTAGTTTTCTTTTTCTCTCTCTCTCTCTTTTTTTTTTTTTGTAGTTTTCTTATACTGTCTTTATGTAGCTTTGGTTTCAGGGTAATGCTGCCACCCACCAGTTTTGTATCTTATGTTTTGTTATATATTTAGTTTTGATTGTAACTTTGATTCATGACTTTTCTACATATTTTTAATTTCTAAACATAAAGATGCTATTTTGTAACTGATTTCCTATTTACAATGTCAGAAAACATGATCTATATGATTTAAACTTCAAAAAATTGTTTGTTATGGCTACTATATGATGAATAGTTCCCTGAGTGTTTGAGAATAATATATGCTCTACAGTGGTTTGTTACACTGTTGTATATATGTCCACTACATCAAAAATTTAATCATGTTTAATATTCTATATTTTCTTGATTTTTCTATCTGCTTGTTTGTCAACTGTGGAGGTAGTTTTTTCCTAAACTTCCCACTTTGTGTATTTGTATATATCTACTTATGTTCTAAAATTTTTGCTTTGTGTATCTTAACATATCTCAATGACATTTTATTAATACATTTTTGCATCATTCTTCCATGGTGTAGCCACCTACCATCCCTTTTGATCAAACCTCTTTCCTGAAAAATTTTTTAGATTTTATTTATTTATTTATGAGAGAAGAAGAGAGACAGTGAGAGAGAGAGAGAGAGAGAGAGAGAGAGAGAAGACTAGCGGACTTTGCACTGAGTGCTAAACCCAATGAGAGGCTCGATCTCAGAACCACAAGATCGGGACCTGAGCTGAAAGCATGACTGATTGAGCCATGTAGGTGCTCCTCTACTGTCACTCTGAATATTACTTTTATATTTTTCAGTGATCTCAGTATCCATGTAGATCTCCCTTCTAATATCTTCACCATTCTTGGTACCCTCTGTCAGTGGTCTTGTCTTCCTATCTTTCCTCAGGGAACTCCTTTGTCTTAATTACTGGGAATAATTCTTCTACAATATCAAAAGCAAAAAACTCTATTTTTTGGAGGGGAGGGACCATCCGCATCCCCACCATCTTTCCAGGTCACTTCCTCTAATATCCCTAATCCAATAATCTCTTATTTCATCTTTCCATCTCAATTTCACTTTTCCTTAAACCAATTTGGTCCTGATTCTGCTTCTTACATAACTTATATTCATGTTAAATCATTCTAAGCACTATTTGCTATTTGTGCCATATTCTCTTGTCCTCTACCTTTATCTTAATTGCTTGGGTTAATATAACCTTAGTTAAATCCAAGTCTCTTTCTTCTCCATGCCTGAATGTACTCACCTAAGTATGGTTGTAGAAAAATAACAAAACTATGGTGACTGGTCTTCATTTAAATCTGTAATTAATAACCTCAGATGGGCTCTTTTAATTGCAGTGAAACCCTACATTTGTCTATATTATTCTCTCTCTCCTGGACAACTTTTTCATGCTTCACTTCTTTTTGGACCTCCACTTTCTCCTCCATATTCATTGTTAGTTAACAATTTTGTTTCCCATTTCACTGTGGAATTAAAACACTTAAAACTGAAAAAAAAAAGAAAAACTTAAAACTGAATGTCCAGGGATCCCTGGATGGCTCAGCGGTTTAGTGCCTGCCTTCCACGCAGGGCGTGGTCCTGGAGTCCTGGGATCCAGTCCCACATCAGGCTCCCTGTATGGAGCCTGCTTCTCTCTCTGCCTATGTCTCTGCCTCTCTCTCTCTCTTTCTCTCTCTCTCTGTCTCTCATGAATAAATAAATAAAATCTTAAAATCTGAATGTCCATAATAAATAGAGTCATTATAAAGCAGACATCCGGGATCCCTGGGTGGCTTAGTGGTTTAGCGCCTGCCTTTGGCTCAGGGCAAGATCCTGGAGACCAGGATCGAGTCCCACGTCGGGCTCCCGGTGCATGGAGCCTGCTTCTCCCTCTGCCTATGTCTCTGCCTCTCTGTGTGTGTGTGTGTGTGTCTGACTATCATAAGTAAATAACAATTAAAAAAAAAAACTTAAAGCAGACATCCCAACTCTCATATTATTTCTCTTTAATTGCACTTGCCTCACCCAAACCCAATGGCGGTTAAATCTAACACTCTGAAGACTCCATACTAGTGCCATAGTAGATTAATGTAAGTAGAAAAACAAAGATCCATGCTGACTCCTGTCATTCTAAATGTGTGACCACATGCCCATTTCTAGCAGGATCTCTGCTGATGCCCTTAGTGCTTTAGTCTGTTTTCTCTTACTATCCTATACTCTGAGCTACTTATTTCATATATCTTTGTCCTCAAATCTCTCATATGCTCTACTTTTCCTCAATCTCAATAACCCTGCTTTTTATTTCATGAAACAAATAATCAGAAGAAAACTTTGTTTTCTTTCTTTCTTTTTTAATATGGAACACTTCACAAATTTGCATGCCATCCTTGTGCAGGGGCCATGCTAATCTTCTCTGTATCTTTCCAATTTTAGTATATGTGTTGCCGAAGTGAGCACGAAACCTTTGTTTCCTGCCCCCAAGTATGCCATTCCTTTCACTTAAGGTCAGAAACTCCCATCTCCTCATTTATTTATTTATTTATTTATTTATTTATTTATTTATTTATTTATTTATTTATTTTTTATTTTTTTTTATCACTTAAGAGCTCTACTGTTGCAATTATCCTTGCTGTGCTGTGAAATATCAATATTTCACATTCTATTGGATTATTACAGTAAGCAACAAATATGTGGCCTCACTCTAACAATTATTTATTGGTTGTTCTTTCATTTATAGCAAACTCTCAAAGTCTAATTTACATTTTCCTCTCCCTTCCTCCTTCTTTCCTGAGTATACTCTAGGCAAGGCTTTTTACTCCTAGTTTCCCATTGACATGTTCTTTTTTAATATTAAGGTCACATGTCCACTGTATTGCCAGATTTGATGTTCCTTCTTCCATTTGTTTCTTGATCAACCTCTAAGCAAAATTCAGGTTAGCTTATACCATTCTTTTCAAAAGTTTTCTTATTTTGCTTTCCCCCCTCTTTCCTTTTAAGGCTTAACGTGATTCTAATTTTTCTCCTTTCTCATATAAGGATAAATACAAGTTGAAAAAAATAATTTTCTTTAACAAAAAAAAAAGGAAAGAGACTTCCCCACTTCATGCTTTTCTAAGCACATTATTTATAAAACAAAAACAAAAACATCTAACTGTAAATTCTTTATTTCTTTGAAATGCATGTAAATCTTTTTAGTGGCTCTTGCCAGTTTTAAGAATCAGGAATATCTTACTCAATAAGCAGAGAACTGTCTCTTAGAAATACTGAATATTAAATATTTCCCAGTTTCTGTGGGAGGGTAAGACCCTAACTTCAGTGGGTGCTTTGCACCAAGTTGCAAAACTACCTCCTAAAAGATTTGAGAAACCTCTTTTTCCATTGGATAGAGCCACTTAGGTAACACAGATGATCACCCCAATTATCGAGTAAATCTAAAAGGAACTATGTACAATAAATGGTACTATTAAGTACTCTTACTTGAGGGCTAGTTATTGTTTATCCTACATGTATATAATAGTCTGTATCTACTTAGCTATATAATAGGGTAAGATTTCTTTGTCTTTATGATCTTCTAGTGGACTGCCTGTGATACAAATCACATTCTCGTATTTAATGTTTATTCAATAATAAAACTATTTTGTCCTCTATCCTTGTGGAGAAGATTTTTGGGTTGGTAGGATAGTTTTAAATTATATTTCCCTAAACACTCAGTACTTCTTTTTTTGCCTATTAATGTTGGGATGCCTCAATGCTTCTTTTTTTATTTTTATTTTTTCTTTTTTCCATCTTTACTCACTTCTTAAATAATCTTTAGTTCACTGGCTTTAAATGTTATCTATACATTAATGTATTTGATTTTCTACACCTAACCAATCTCCCCTCTCCCTCTCTCTGCTATAAATCTATAAATATCTTTTATTTGATGAGTCCACTTCTATGTACTGTCCATGAATGAACCTTTATAATAAGGTTATCTTTATTGTCCATCAGTGAACTATATACTCAACATAAATCTGCTTCTTCTCTTGTGTTTCCCATCTTAGTGAAAGTCATCATTATTTACAGGTTACAGATTTTTTTGTTTATTTTGTTGTTTATTTTCATATGCCACAAAATATATCTTACAGGTCTGCTTTCAAAAAATATCTGAAATTTTATTACTAACATATGTCTCATTATTACTCCCCATTTAACATTTACATTGATTCCCCCCCCCCCCACCACCACCACTTCCCTCAGAGAGAAGGAGGAAGAGAAAGGAGACAGGAAGGGTGGCTTTAATAAACCAGAGAGCATACAAAAGAAGTGGAAGGAAAGATTCAAAGGTTAAATTCAAGATGTGAAATCAATAGTGAAACATGGGAATTGCCTATGGTAAATGAAATTGTGATAGTCCATGGTATGGCTCTGATAGAGTTTATGGAATAAGAAGATTTTAAAATTATAAGGAAGCATTTATAGTTTGCAAGCAATAACTGTTGAAAGGAGCAGAAAATGAGGATTGAAAAAGGTGTAAGGAGAACCTAAACAGATTTTTCCAGAATTCATGGGGAAAAAAAAATTTACAAGTTGAACAAATCAGAAGGACAGTGTTGAATGCTGTTTGAGATTAAGATTATAAACTTAAGAGTTATGATCAAAGTTTGGAATATTACAATGGAAAATGTTAAGCACAAAGTCCATAGTAGGCACTAATAAGAATATAAAGATAAATAAAGTCTCTTCATTTAAGGGCATGGAACTCTATTAGAGAGGTAAAATGGAAATATAAATAACTCAGAGACAGTATAAGAATTGCTATGTTTTAGACTTTCAGTCAAACTTATGAGAGATCTGGAGAGGAATATTCATTGTAGGGCCAATGAGGAAAACTCAATGGAAAAAAACAGGTTTTTTGTGGACTCAAACTCTAAATAATTTGGCAGTGTACACCAGTGGGCAGTCCAGAGATAATACAGGCTTAAATATGGATAGGAGAAACATCAAAGTATAAAAGATAAGAATTTGCAATTTCAATTGTTGGTGTGCAAGAATTGAAATATTTAAAAAATCTGTTTATAATCTTTTATATCTTGGGCTGAGAAAGAATTTTATCTCAGTCATTTGTGGACGTTTTTCCTTTAGTTGTGTCTTCCTATTGAAACCTGAGGAAGTACTCCTGGGATCATTGCTTCTGAGACATCCATTGCTTTAATCAGTCTTTCAGATCCTATAGTTGATCCTTTTGATTTTCTGCTGTTCTTGGGGTACAAGTGAGTTTGACAAGGCTGGGAGAAGTGATTGAAGGAGGAGAGCAAAATAGTAACACCAGTATTTTTATTGTTAATGTGACAATAATACAGTATTATTTTGGACTACATAAAATAAAACAGTAAAGTCACTTACATAATTCATTAAATTTATAAGAAAATCATAAATATCAAATTTAATGTTAATCTAATAAAAACATAAAGTATATATTATAAGCTGATAAAATTAATGATTAACATTTCCAAAATATCAGTACTACATGAAAGTGAACAAAATTTAGTTATCATAACTCATTAAAAGGATATAGTATAACTCAATTCCTCTGTAAAACTCAGATCTTCTAAAAATTGCATTGTGATTATTATTGAGCCAAGACTTTTTTTGTAAAAAATACTTCCTTCTGTTGGAAAAGAACTGAAGTCTTCATCAGCGGGAGAATTTTTAGTAGCCTTTATAAACTAATTCTAAATATTTTCCCTGGAGTCCCTTACTTTTAAATTATCACAAGATCTATTGGTAACATTGAAGACATTTTTTTAGCACCATCTAAGAATACAATGCGAAGTATCAATTTAAATGCCACAATGCTAATATTTCACTTGTTCAAAAGGTCTTTGAATAATGGCAATAATTATGCTTTAAAATATATGGTTTTTTTTGTTTTTTAATAGAAGGTGGATGCTTATTGTAATGTGTATAGGTGCAAATTCTCCTGGGCTTTGTTTTGTCTTTTCTGCACATATTGACCAGATAGGTTATTGATTTCATTATCAAGATATAAATGATTTGAATATCAGGTTCTTTCAAACATAGAAATAATTACATTACATCAAAAGGTATTAAAATTTTAGTACATAATGCTTGGAATTCTAAACACTAACTGGCCGTGTTGTGAATTGGCTCTATCTCCCCCTAATGGCACCAACCAGTTATGATCTCTGTGTTCTGGTGACACTTCCAGCCAATATACCTTAGACAGTACTTAGATTCTCAACTTCTTGGTCCCCTTTTCTGTATGATCGAATATCTTTTTTTCCTATCCCTTCTTGTTCTGGGATTATTACCGTTATGTCTTCAGTGATTTTAGGATTTTCAAAAGATAGAATCAGCTTTCGTTTTCCAGGTCCAAAAAGGCACAAGGTAAGAAAATAGTGGGTCTGACAGTCTGCATGGAATGAGAGAAAGATACAACAAACAAAACACGTTTGTATTTCAAAAAGTTCCCTATCACAATAGAAGCAGTTAGAATTGTCATTCAATCCATTATTATATTAATTTTCTTGATTAGAATCTGTATTGCTACATGTATTAGTGAACTTATTTTTTTGAAGTATGTTGTCTAAATGTTTAATATCAACATACTACTTGGGACTATAGAGATTGCTATGAATGTGTGTTATTCTATTTATATGTTTATTTAGAAAGAACAATGTAATGTACATAGAGTAATATAATTCTGTAAAAATAAGGTAAAATATTACTGTAATTAATAAAGATAAAGCTAGAGAAGTGAACATTTGTTTTAGAGCTCTACTAAAAGTGTAAGTCATCACTGTCCTCAACTGCGAAATGGAATCTAAAACTTTTCTGGGGGTAGGAATTATATTTCTAATATTGAGAGAATCTAACATAATTTTGGTAGGGAGTATATTTTTAATAAAGTTTTTGTAATGAATTATCAAGTCAATGAACAAATTTCCTATTTCAAAAAGATCTGTAAACATAATTTTTTTAAAGATTTTATTTATTCATGAGAGACACACACACACACACACACAGAGAGAGAGAGAGAGAGAGAGACAGAGGCACAGGAAGAGGGAGAAGCAGACTCCATGCAGGGAGCCTGATGTGGGACTCTATCCTGGGACTCCAGGATCATGTCCTGGGCTGAAGGTGGTGCTAAACCGCTGAGCCACCCAGGGATCCCCCTGAATGTTCATTAGAGAATAGTTAGGGAATAGTTATTAATTAAATGACTACATGAATTAATAAGTTTATACCTAAATTGCTAATGTGTGGTTTCCTTTATGTTATTGCAAATCATCTTCATTATATTGCAACATAGGCTGACAATGATAATACCCACTTTTGTATATAAGGGAAAGAGGATGTGGAGACATAAAATATTTTACCTAGAAGTGACCTGGTGGTAGAGTTGGGATTATAATCCAAGTTTTATGCCTCCATGTTTAGAGTTTTGCTATCAT